TCCCCCCCCCCCTTCCACTCGCCATTCCCTACCCTTCTCTGGGCCACACAGGGGTTGAAAGCCGTCTGGGTACTTCGGAGTTGTGAGGGCGCCTGCGTATCATTCGGAATTCCTTTTTCCTCGGGTGGAAAAAATAAAGGCAACAAAAAAATCGTACATGTGTTTTTGCATTTAATCTTTTAGTCACATCACGATTTTTTTCCATCTCCAGTTCGCGATTTCGCGATTTTACTCTCTCTCAAGCGCAGAATTTTTTTTCTCGCTGGATTATTTATGAGGCGGGCCTTCGATCTCATTTTCTACTGGGGGGGACATATTGATGGGGTATGCGGTGGATAGGGGGAGATATTAATACCCACAACTGCTCGAATTTCTCGTTTAATTGTGGGGTCTATGGTATTTTAAGGAGCACCCACGGGACACATTGAGATGTGCACCTGATGATGGCTGTGACGCAGGCGCCCAGATGCCGGACACGGGGGGATGGGGTAAATTGCGAGGGAGCAACCCCGCCCCGTAAAAGACCAGGGGGGAAATCAGACGATTAGGGGGGGCGGAGGGGGCTAAGCGGTTTTATGCTCGTACGGCGGCTTTATTACCGTTGCTGTTATCTTTTAATTTTAAAAATCCTGTAATGCGGGGGTTTTGGCGGGACGGGGGCTTTCGTCGGGGCTTTTTGTCCTCGGATTTTAAAGGGTGGAAATTATGGTGGTGGGTGATTTAATTATTTGAGAGTGGGTTGAAGGTTTTATTGATGGAGGCTTCGAGGTTTTTTAAATAAAACTATTAAAAAAATTTTAAAAAATCAATGTCATTTTTTTATTAGTTATTGTTTTTTAAATACGAAATTATCAATTCAAAAAAACGTGAAGACCTTCAATATCAATGTTATCTTTTAATTTTAAAAATCCTGTAATGCTCAATGTCCCGGGAATTTAAAGGGGTGGAACTGAAATTGATATGGGTAATTTAATTATTTGGCAGCGGGTTGAAGGTTTTATTGAAAAAGTTTTCGAAGTTTTTTTATTTTGTGGTCAAATTCTTGGTTCAGTGACCAAGCATTTGTTGAGTAAAATAAAATATTCTTCCTTTAAGAATATCTTCACTCGCTTCGTCGCATAAATATTCCGAAATGAGAGGAAGAAAAACGAAGAGGAATTCTAGATTCTGTGAGAATAGAATAGAAAAATAAAAAACAGAATAAATGTCATTTTTCGTTATTTATTCTATCAATTCTATTCTATCAATTGAAAAGAATCTGAAGATCTTTTAATTTTAAAAATCCTGTAATGCTCAATATTTTTTTTTTTTTTGGGAGATAGGGGGTTTTCATCAGGGCTTATTGTCCCGGGAGTTTAAAGGGGTGGAACTAAAGTTGATGGGTAATTTAATTATTTGACAATGGGTTGAAGGTTTTATTGAAAAAGTTTTCGAGGTTTTTTTATTCTGGAGGGGAGGGGGAGGGATAATGCGAGGTATAGGAGGTTTTTAATTTTTTAATGGAAGGTGGGAGGGTATAATTGAAATTCTATTACAAGAAGTTACTTAATTATGGAGAGGAGAGTTGTGGCAGGTACGTGGGGCGTGTGTGCATATTTTCAGGGAAATTTTCACCGGGAATTGAATTATTGAAAAGTGGATGGATGAAGGGGTGAAATGTTGCGGCGGGAGGTGTCGCGGGGGCAGTGGGGAGCTGTCGATGAGCCCGGGAGGAGGTTGAGGGAGTTTATTTTTTATGATCAATGGTATTTGTTGCTGATTCATGAAGGAATTTGCGAGGGGTTTTCGGGGGCTTTCAGCCGAGGATTCATTTTTGATGGAGAGTTCGGGGGTGATTATTTGTTGGGAGAGCGGATGAATGTGAAGCTCCTCTGAATTACTAGTAAACTATCCGTGAAATTCCAAATTTTACACTGTAAGCGCTGTTGAAAATTTAGCACTGAAATTTTCGGGGAATTTTGTCATTGAAAATTCATAATTTCATGGAAAAATCTGTGGAAACTGTAGAGTTCAGTTCAAGTATTCCGGGAAAATTCAGAGAAAGCTCATCTTGAATTCCAGATTCCTCTGAATTTTCAGGGAATTTGTCATTTGTCAAAATTTGTCATTTTTTTAACTCTTGAAAAATTCATTTTTTTTGTTATTAAATCCGATTTCAGAGAATTCCAATTGGAGCCGCAGACATTGAAATTTGAAAATTGATGGCCGTTATCAAACAAAAAATTGATTTCAGCCTCTCATTTTTCAAATAAAGATGTCACAAATAAATATTGGCAGGCGGAAAAAATTGCATCCAATCTAAAAATTTCCACAATATTTACTAACACAGGGTCCAATGAATTTTCAAATGAAAGCTTTGACGTTCAACTCCACATATTGACGACGATTTAAAAAAAATAGACTAAACTAGGGGAGGGTGGGGTGAAATGGGCAGTAGACTTTTTTTTTTACTCATAACTCAGAAACAAATTTATCAATTGAGCTCAGTTTAGGCTCTTCACAAAGGAAAAGAAATGTTCTTTGCATTGAAAAAAAAAAAATTATTGAGTTTCATCAGCATTTCAAGCTGTCATTAATATTTAAAAAAAGGTCAAAAGTGTCCATTTTACCCCAAGCTCCCCTAATCGAATGCCCGCCATGCAAACGAATTAACTAAACTTTAGAATCGACTTAGAAACCATTAATAATCAAAATCGTTGTGATTGCGGAAATAATTAAATAAAATTCCAGCTGTAGACGAAGCTGATGAGTTTTCATCGCCTGCCGTATTGAAGAGTCGAACAGCTCATCACTTCTTGTTGAGGTAATTATTATCTCTGAAGGCATAAAAATCGAATGAAACTCCCCAACACCATCAGAAAAATTTAAAACGCCCGAAAAAATCATCCAAATGCGTTCAGTGGAAAGCATTTACCACATTCCCATGATCAGCATTGAGAATATTTTCCACCAGAGGAGTGGAAACACTCGATCAATTAACTCCGCAAAAATGAATATTCGAGTATCAGGATGAAAAATGTTATATAAATGCAAATTCAATTATTTGGGAATGGCGGAAGTTATTGGACAAAAATCGTGGAAAATTCGTGCCGCATTTTTTTCCAGAAAAAAAAATTCAATCAAAAGAGAATTTTATTGAAGAGGAGCTAGCAATAATGAATGAAAGTCGCTTAATAAATGCATTTACTTCGGACAAATTCTTTGTGCTTCAAAATTACCTTCACTTACACGTCTTGTTGAAAGATTCAAGCGAAGGAGGTGAATAATGCAGAGCGCATTTTTTCGTAAATAAATTCAGTCGAGAGCGAGTGTTACTGAAGGACGCGATGAAATGGTGATTGACATTTACTAGATAAATGGTTGTGCTTCGAAAAAATTTCTCATTAAATCGCACTCCACCTTTGTTTAATAAACTTCCATTAGCAGTGGAGAATGTGAATAACAATTGTTACCGACAAATAGGAGGAGAATGAAATTCAGTGATGATTGATATTCGCTTAATGAAGGCTTTATTTACTCAAAATGTTTCATCCAGTTGGAAATTCCCCTCTGTTAATAACCCTCCATTGATTAATTGAAATATGGCAGGAGTTATTGGGAACAATTTGCTGCACACGTACGACTTTTTCTAAAAAGTCAGAATGTTTGTGTACGATAGAATGGTCGAGTAATATGGACTCAATCTCAACAATTTGAGATACTTTAGTTCATTGATCTCTAACTCAAGAGTAACGGTTTACTTCGATGCAAAGAATAAAATATAAAATTCGCATTACATCATTTCCTCGCTCATTTTTTTTTATCTGAAAAAATTCAACTTTCATTAGTTTTTTAATTCAACTATTAAAAACTAATAACAATGATTATTTTTATCAATTTTTTAATAGTTGAATTATTTTAAATTAATAAAAATAATGGAGAAGCCGAAGTCCATAAGAATAATGAGAAAGGTAAAAATAATAATTGACAATCACTTAATTTCAATGCTTTTACTTCGAAAAAACCAATCATTTACACAGTAATTATCATTACACAAATTGAATAATCAAACGACTATCAGCCCGATTTTTCGCTCCACCCCGAAAATTCATAGATCACTGCATTATTAGAGAATGGAATTCATTGATGATTGATAACCATTTAATGAATGGCTTCATTTCCTCAAAATATTTTATCCACTTAAAAAAATACAATCTGTTAATAATCCTCCATTAATTAATTGAAATGCCAGGAGTGCTATTTTTCTCATGTCATCATACCCTCGTTCATTGTTTCTCTCTGAAAATAATGACAAAGGTAAAAATAACGATTGACAATCATTTAATTTCAATGCTTTTACTTCGAAAAAACCAATCATTTACACAGTAATTATCATTACACAAATTGAATAATCAAACGACTATCAGCCCGATTTTTCGCTCAACCCCAAAAATCCATAGATCACTGCATTATTAGAGAATGGAATTCATTGATGATTGATAACCATTTAATGAATGGCTTCATTTCCTCAAAATATTTTATCCACTTAAAAAAATACAATCTGTTAATAATCCTCCATTAATTAATTGAAATGCCAGGAGTGCTATTTTTCTCATGTCATCATACCCTCGTTCATTGTTTCTCTCTGAAAATAATGACAAAGGTAAAAATAACGATTGACAATCATTTAATTTCAATGCTTTTACTTCGAAAAAACCAATCATTTACACAGTAATTATCATTACACAAATTGAATAATTAAACGACTATCAGCCCGATTTTTCGCTCCACCCCGAAAATTCATAGATCACTGCGTATTCCATCGCCGGGCGCTGGTGGTGGGCTTGTGAGTGAGGTCAGACCCCCAGCCGGGTCAGCAGCATAACGAGTAGAGACCTGGGGTCCAGGTGGTGGCCTCTCGCCTGACTTGAATTTATTTATAATGGTCCTGGTAGTTTCTGGTGTCAGGTCCTCCTGAAATTAACAATAAATTTCCCTATCTTGTCTCCATTTATTCCGGGCATTTAATTTTTATGAGACTGGCATTCGTACTTGGTCCGGCTGGTCAATAAATTTTGGATAGGGTTGTGAGGTAAGTAAAAAAGATGCTTAACTCTGTGAGTGCTCCGAGGGCTGTCTGAGTTTTTTCTCTCATTCTCATTCTGGTCATTGAGAGCTATCGAATGGTTCGGGGTCAAGGGGTCATTTGTAGTGGGTCATGAAAGCTTGAGGGGTTTTTTTTTAAGGGCATCGAGGGCCTTTTTGCATCAGTGATTATCGACGGACTTTTCAAGAATCTTTGGTGAGGATTTATGAGTTTATGGTTTAAAGGTGAACATTTACGAGCGCCAGATTATCGCGGGAGTATTAAATACACTCAGTCGAGTCCCTTTAATGAAAGCTTTTTCGAGGATCATTAAGCGCCAGTTTTGTGGATAATACAGAGGCCATGGGAATAAATAATAGATTTTCACGTACTATTCGATAAAACGGCGGGGGATTATCAATTTAACACGTGCATAATACACTTGTACCAGTTTAGCTCGCAAGTTTCATCCAACTTCTGTGATTTATATTATTAATTTGTAATTGAAATGAGCGCAACAATCACAATTATAAACTGAACATGGATTTTGGTCCTCAGTTTTTTTTTTCAATTGAGGGGGGGTCAATTGACTGTGGCGAGCGGGTCGAGTCATTAAGTCATAATTTTCTATTTGGAAATGCTGGGAAAGTTCTGGGAGTACAATGTCAATATGATTTTCGGTGAGAACAATGGATTAAGGGAACAAAAAACTTTGAACCACCTGCGCGAATGCGAAAATTTTTTCATTGCGGAGAAACAAATACTGGAGTATAATGGATTATAACTTTTCCGAAATTTCAATGGATACAATGAAACGAAACTTTTAATTACACGAAAGTGTAACTATTTTCGTTTGAAATATGAGGGTCGATTGGCTGATGGCGGAGGATCAAAAGAAATGAAATTCTAACTATTGGGATTTTTTTTTCCGCCGGTATCGTTTATGTGAGTGTTTAGAACGGTGGGAAAGATGAAAGAAAACTGGAATTATCCTCGGGTATTCTAAAGTCTCGAGATAACAAGGAGAAGACAAAGGAAGAACAGAAGAATAATTAAATTGGGAATGGTAATTTCAACTATCCCAGGAACTAGTGGATCGATTGAGGTGAAACTCAGCTGAAGGGGGTAAATATACAGACTTTTTTCGTTTACATGTCTTATAACAGTCTAATTTGTTTAGGCAATATTTGCAATTTTAGAGATTGAACGTTAAGAGTGCTTCACACTTTCAGTAGCGAATATCTCGGAATCTAAGAGAGATAACGAAATTTTCGTCACGACCTTTTTTGCAGAGCGAATTGAGGGCTACAAAAAAGGTCATAACAAAAATTTCGCTATCTCCCTTAGATTTCGAGATATTCATTGAAAACTGGGCAATCGTCAAAATCGACTTAAGATATCCAGTACTTTGGCAATTTTTTTCTCCAGAGAAATGTTTTTTTGTAGTCAAATATCAGAGCTTTCACATGAGCTCCATTTGACCCTAAATTTCCGGACATTTTACAATTATTTTATTATTTAAACTCTGAAGGCTTGAATTTAATCTTGATATTGGACCGTTGGAAAACATTTAAAAAATCTAAAAACAAATTAGAAGGTTTACTTTTAGACAATATCAATTACTTATTTATGAACAACGAATGTGGCCAAATTTGATGATTGAAAATGGTTGAATCTACGGTCTGGTCCTTACCAATCTCTAAAAGATCCTTGTCTACCCTTAAACCGTTCTACGGCTTCGCTGCTACTTATTATCTTCCGAAAAAACCGAATGAAGCTTCATCCGGGCCATCGAATTCCCTCGAACCCCAGGGTTTCACCTCCATAATAGCCATCATTTCCCCCCGAAGCATTGACCACCCGCTCTCGAACCACTGTATCCCAGCCCTCCAAAAAGCAGAAGAAACTTCCAAACGTGAGTTCAAAATTACCCCAGGCACCGAACATTTTCCATCTTCCTGTCTCGCAACATTCCCTCACGCAATATCCGCAGTTCTACAAACCGAACATTAACAGTGCTTCAACATTTCCCAATTTTCCGCCCAAAAAAGACCGACTGACCCTTCGCAAATTCCAAATATCGAATTCCCGCATCCCAGAGATCCACCTCTGCATCACCCCCCAACCCCCGGAGTATTGAATACTCAATTAAAAAACATAATTGTATCACAACTCCGAAACTTGTCATAATTAAATCCCCGCACATTAAAGTGCAATCCTCCCGCTCCCTCAGCGCCCGCATTTACATCAATTGAGTTAATTCCCGAGTTTGATTTTTCGAAAATGCCCTCGCAGTTCGAGCAAGGAATTCAATTTCACATGATCAACAAAGTCCCTCCCCCCCAGTCCTGCAAATTTCACGATCTGCACTACCGAGAAAAGGCTTTGGGGAGTAGAATTTTCGATTCCAAACTCAAAGCCAGAAGTTTGGTAACTCAGCAATAGAGGGTAAACCGGTGTATTTAGTACATATTTAATCAGCTTATACGTACGTAGTAGTCGTCATTAACCTGGAGCATTGGTGCATTGGCACAAGCACCCAAGCACTCAACCTCCGATATTGTAAACAACTTGTCTTTCGATGTTTCACCAACTTTACAGCCGGCGGTGTCCTCCACAGCCTTCAAAATTGAATCAGAATCCCTCAGCCAGCATGGTGTACACGTACAAACACCGATATGATATTTTCCCATTGGCCGTCTGTTGAACATTGTATAGAAAGTGGCAACCTCATAAACTCTCATATTTGCCACGTTAAGTATCTCAGCTACTTTGTGCATTGCGGAAATTGGTAGCCAACCGTGTTGCCTTTGTGCGAGATCTAGGAGTGGTATCATGGCCCCTCGCTTGTGACCCTCTGGGTATATTGCGAGTATTGCCTCGGCTCGCTTCTTGTTTGCATCGTTGAATTCAAAGGGAATGTTCGGATTGTCATATTCCGTATCTCTGTGCTGTTATAAATCATTGACATATTTTAATACGATGAATTTCAATATCTTGCGAGCTTTGAGGTATGCGCAGGTGATTTTAATGGAGAAGAGGTGAGATGAGATTATTTGGAAAATGTATTTTGAGAGAAAAGCACGTTGTCAAATAAGTCTTGGTTGGGACAACAATGGCTAGTTGAAAATTGCCAAAAAAGAATTTGTTTGGTTTGAATTTGAGAGTCTCTGACGTGAATAGTTGTCCTGCTTTCGACAGCAACGAAATATTTGGCTCAAGAGGCGGATAATTCACACCAGACGGTGCCTTTTCAGGGTGAAAAGATCTCATACAGAGGAAATTTTATCAACAAATATTTTATCCCCAAGTTACAAGATTGCTATCATATCATTATTATTGTTTCATTTGAGGGTTCATTTCTTGTCTGCGATTATTAGACAGCCGGAACGAAAAACTACTATCCCTTGTTTCGCATAAAACAAAGATTTTTCGGGAGCAAAATACGTATGGGAGTATCGAATAACGAAAGAGTAGTGCTAGAAACTACATTTCTTGCCTGTACAGAGAATGCAATTTTTTTGAACTACTAAATCTATTTTAACGACAAAAATTTTTCATTCCGGCGCACTCTCTGCACGTTTGGCAAAAAAAATCCTTTTTTGATAATTTTCAAAAAACAATTTTCTTGGCACAAGTGAGACTTGTTTGAGAACTTTGTCGTTTTTCTCTCAGTGTACTAATGAAAAAATTGGTATTGCAACGACTTGCTTCTTCTGTTTTATCCCCGGGCTGTCTATTCGCTCAACCTTAGATGTTTTTAATTTATAAATTGCATGACTTGCTTCTTGTTTGCATCACTGAGCTCAAAGGGAATGTTCGGATGAAGAAATTGTCTTTAATCGAGAATAACTCAAGAATGAAAGTGTGGCATTTTCCAAATTTTTTTCGTCCACTTAAAATTTTTTCAAACTTCAAAATGAGATCTGATTTATCCAAATCGCACCATTTGTTGAGACGATACTGACGACTGAAGCTAACTCATTTCATCCAACCCTCCCCTATTTAGCAGTCACTGATTTTTGATTAAAATTGATTTAGCTCATTCCACCACGTCATAAGTGATTTCTTTTCATGTTGGCACTCCCAGTTGAATTCACCCTTTTGTCCTCTTTGATACAGTGAATGATTCCATTTTTACATCGAACGATTAATCTACAGATCTTGAGTGAAATATTCAAGAAAGATGTACATTATTTACAAGTGTCAACGGAACCTCAGCCCGAAGGCTTTTAGACTGATCTATAACTCAAGGCTTATGGGGAATTTCTCATCACGAGGGCTCGGGAGGGTGCGCTTGTAGGGGAAAATGGGAGTGAAAAAACGTTTCAGAAATGGTGAATGACGTAGATTGAATACGGATGTGACGATTTATTAAGGGAAAGCAAGATCAACTTTCCAAATTATCCAGAACTGCTGAGGAAACAATATCGATGATTCCTAATAACTGATCTTATTCGTTTCATTTCGAGGCTTAAAATTAAACTTGATGACTTCAATACTCCGAATTTACTACCATAAAGGAATGCCTAATTTTCCAATTATTAAAATAGAAGTTTTGCGTCGGACGATGCAATTTTTTTCGGTGCGAACAAATAGTCATATTGCTTTCTTCCTGACAAACGTAAATAAATTATATAACGTTGAATAAGTGACACGATAAAATTATAAAAATCAAGTTAATTGTCACTTAATAGTCATTTTGTCAAATCGAGGAACGATTTTTCTCTTTTGTCATTTGTAACTGTACAATTGGTATATAGAAATATATGTGTATGTTTACAAATTCCAAAAAATATCGTAGCTTTTTTATATCTCGTGTAAAAAATGCTTACGAGTTGGTCCACCTTAAAATAGGGTTTTTGAAGTTTAGGCTTCGTTGAAAATTTAAGTTTTTACTCTCCATTAGGCAGAAATTTCATAGTGGAAGATGCAATTTTTTTTCGGTAATTACTACTCTTACCCTAGAGTCAATTGACAAATAATATCATTGCCATTTGATTTCTTTTTGTTTTGTTTTATGGAATAAATAAGTGTTCACCCTTAAGTTTAGTGGATAATTAAATTACCGTAATTCTCGTTTTTTTGATTTAGTCGAATGAAGAATGACATGCGGTGGGTAAATTCAGATGAAGAGTGAAATTATGAGGATTCGGTGAATACAGTTGGATGAGAAAAACTACTGGGCAATTAAATTCCTCGAGCAGAGTATAATACCATTAATTAAATTCATAAAGAGAACAATAACAAGAGTCGCCATTAATAGTCAAATCCATTTTAAAATAGTAGTGCTGAAAGAATCCATTGAAAACTAAAGGAGGTATCAGTTTTTAGATTAAAACTAATGCTGAGGGCAAAAAAAATTAATTATCAAGTGTCTGAAATTTCACCAAGTATGGGCTAAACTAACAGAAAATTCAGTGGGTTTTTTTTAGATATACTTTCTGCATCTAAAATTTGGCCATTTATGACCCATTCTGTCTCCTGCCCATTGACACAGATGAAAAATCCATTCAAAAATAAATTTTTCATATGTATTTGATGAATGAGAACACTCAGTTGGCTCCTGATTCACCCTGAGGTGTCGATCCAGACCTTTCCAGCCCCTGAAAACCCTCTGCAAGTGTCTGAATCTCAGACATTCCTTTTAGCAGTATTTCAGGTAATTGACGATAAAAAAATAGTGCACCTCTGGCCAGTCTCTCCTAACCCTTTTCTCTCATTTCTATTCAATTGAAATGCCTTTGAGGATGAATAAAAATGGCTTCATCCGACGTTATTTCTAATTCCCAACTGACTTCTCACTCTTTTATTCATTATGTGCACCTCTTCTCCAGTGGTTTTATTCATCAGCTGAATGAATTCCCTCTGAATAGATTGTTTTTTGAGTTTTCTGTTCATTCACGGTGAATTCAGCTTTGTAATTGGGAACAAAACTATTCGAGGAGCAACTCGGTGTAGTAATTATTATGTCCAAGTTATTTTTCAACTCTAGTTTTACTTACAACGAATAAATGATCCGATGCACGACTCGCCGACAGCTGAATCTGCCTCACATTCCTCAGTGCCTGTCAATTGACAAACAATCAGAGCTTTATTATTTAATTTATTCATTATGTAAGATGGGTTGAGGTTATGAGCATTGTTTTCAGTAATTTTGGTGATTAAAATTGAGGAATTGAGTACTTACTGTGAGGCTGCACTTTTTGGCGACTGATGCCAGCATTTTACTGTTTTTCACGACTTTGTGAACTATTTTTCGGGGGAATTGTGGAGGAAAAATAAAGTACGAGGTCGACGTCAATCGACTGGAGAAATACTGAGGGGAAACAGCTGATTGGGCGCAGGCGTTTCACTCTGCGCTGGCGCTCTGCGCTGATGGGGATTTAAATTCAGTGATATGAATCCTTGATGGGAGAATCCAGGGCGAAATGTTAAGGGATAGTGCTGGTTGGGGATCTATCCAACTGGGCGGAGAGAAATTAACTCGAAAATGAAGAGATTGCAGTTTCAATCGTCAAATTTGTCAATTAAATTGGCAAATTGGAAAGGAGGAAAATCTGAAAAAATCAGAAATATTCAACGTCACACGGAGAAAAAAATTAATTTTATCAAGGGAATTTTACTTGAACCAGCTGTCATTTGGTTGTTAATTTTCAAATAAACATGATTTCATAGTGAATACCAGTTATCTCTTCTTGAGATACATTTGATTGGGAGAAATTGAACGTCTCTTGAATTAAAGTTCCTTTTATTTGTCGCAATAATGAGAGTATTTGATTTCTTTCTAGCCAAAAGTTTGCCAACTCCAGAAATTCGTTGGTTTACTCAAAAATCAAAATTATTCTCATGACTAAATACGTTGTTATGTCAATCAACAGGATCATACGTTGTGCCAAGTAAATTATAATTGAAGTGAGCATTTCGTATGTCGAATCAGGATGAATATTGTTACGCGGAAAAAGCTTTGAGATTGTAGTAAGATGTCGTTGAGTTGGAAGAAGTTTATATTTCTTGACTAAAAAAAATCGCATTAGTTTACAATAACAGAATCACAGATTACGGCAATTCTACACAAACTTGGATATCACAAATTTCGTTCAATGTGATGTACGGAAAGCTCAATTTAAACATCGGCTTCATTCGAGAAAACAACATTCAATTCATTCCTCAATGTAATCATCTCCTAGGTACGAATTTTTGATCAATTCATGAAAGTAGAAAATTTCTCGACTGGAGATTACATTAGGTTTAAAAAATAGAACTTTTCCATTTTTGTGGTGAATGCATGTGATTGACGCCAAGGACTGTTTTATATGATTCAAGTAAATGTATCTCAAGAAGAAATAATTGATGTTCACCGTGAGATCTTATTTCTTCGAAATTGGTTCAAGTGTATAGTACTTGTTCCAAGAAAGAATCACCTCAATAAAATAATTTTTACACATTTCCAATCAAAATTAGAGAGGGAAAAATACCCAAAGTACTTGGATATCCTTGAGAGACCCCAATTATCGCTTGAACAGGCTCGCAAATGAGCAAAACTAGAAATTAATTATCAATGTAGAGACGGGGAAAATTCTCCTCTCCTCTTATGCAGTAATTAATTTTTTTGCTCCCCAGTAGCGCTGCACAGCTCCCCCAGAATTTTCAAAGCAACTTAATCCACTTGGCTGTGAAATTACCTTGCAAAATGAATTAGACCACTTAATATTACATTCATGATGATACCAAACTTTCCCAAAATTCATTACCCCAAATCCGATTGTGTTTTCGTGCTCCCTGGGGGAGAATGGGTGGAATGATAAAGAGACGGTTATTTTGATGAGTACACAAACCTATTTGAAGTCTACAAGAATAGAGGAGGGAGAACAATGGGAAGATTTTAGGGGCAATTGGGAGGATGGGACAGTGCTTCAATGTATGTATAGATGAAAATACACTCTGCCAGGTAATGAAACAAAAGCCAAGTAATTCGGGTATTATTTCAACGAGAGATTCCGGGCTTATGCCCAGAGGAAGTGGAACAACTTCACAATGCCGCCTTTATAGTTGAGTCTCTCAATGCCTGTGTAAATAAATCTGCTGTGAAACATCAATATTGGATTTACCATTTACTTATGTTTTCTCTTAATTATTCTCTGCAAATGGGTAAAGACTCGACAAAGTATAATTTCCGATTCATTTGAACGAAAATCAACAGCGAAAGGCAAAACGGCTCCAGTTGATTTTGACTTTTGTCAGTTTTCAGTGAATATCTCGGAATCTAGGGGAGATAGCGAAATTTGTGTCAAAACATTTTTTGTAGCTCTCAAGTCGCTCTACAAAAAAGGTTATTATGAAAATTTCGCTATCTCCCTTAGATTCGGAGATATTCCTCTGCAAAAAACATTTCAATTGAATAAGTTTTTTTTTATTAATTTTTTTGTGAGAAACGTTCGACGTTGGGTTTGAAAACAGGGCGGGATTTTTATGATAATCTTTTTTAGTCTGCCCTCGCGACAAAAATTTCTGCGTCTGGCGAAATAAAATTAAATCAGAATCTAATTATACCACGAGATAATTTTTGAAACAACATTAAGCCTCCACAAACGGTCCCCAGTTATTCGAGTGGTGCTTAACAATCATCTCCCATAAATAGACATATTAATGAGTTCAAAGATTCGATTGTTCCAATAATAACTTCCCCCTTAATTCGGCCAACGTGCGGCGATCGAAAATACATCACTGAACTGTAGTAGAAAATGTTTATTGAGCATTGTTACATTTTATCGTGATAATAGTGACGATGACAGTGATAAGATGATTAACTACATCGACAATTCAACAATAATTCATAATAATTTTGCAAACAACCTGTAAATTACATTCTTCCAATACAAAAAAAAGTTGATAAAATTCACGTCGAGTTGACTAGCACAATTATTAAAATATTTAATAAGCGAACAGAAGTAATAAAAATTAAAGCGTTTTAGTGCGAATGCGTGAAATATGATAATTCGAATGAAATGGGAACAAATAATCATATTGCCTTCTTCCTTACAAACGTAAATAAATTATATAACATTGAATGAGTGACACGATAAAATCACAAAAATGAAGTTAATTGTCACTTAATAGTCATTTTGTCAAATCGAGGAACGATTTTTCTCTTTTGTCATTTGTAATTGTACAATTGGTATATAGAAATATATGTGTATGTTTACAAATTCCAATAAATATCGTAGTTTTTTTTATTTCTCGTGTAAAAAATGCTTACGAGTTAGTCCACCTTAAAATAGTATTTTTGAAGTTTAGGCTTCGTTGAAAATTTAAGTTTTTACTCTCCATTAGGCAGAAATTTCATAGTGGAAGATGCAATTTTTTTTTTCGGTAACTACTACTCTTACCCTAGAGTCAATTGACAAATAATGTCATTGCCATTTGATTTCTTTTTTTTTGTTTTATGGAATAAATAAGTGTTCACTCTTAAGTTTAGTGGATAATTAAATTACCATAATTCTCATTTTTTTTTATTTAGTCGAATGAAGAATGACATGCGGTGGGTAAATTCAGATGAAGAGTGAAATTATGAGAATTGGGTGAATACAGTTGGATGAGAAAAACTACTAGACAATTAAATTGCTCGAACAGAGTATAATACCATTAATTAAATTCATAACAAGAACAATAACAAGAGTCACCATTAATGGTCAAATCAATTTTAAAGTAGTAGTGCTGGGAGTTCCTAACAAAGTGTAGAATTTTTCCAAAGAATCCGTTGAAAACTAAAGGAGATATCAAAGTTTCTAGACTCTCTTCATAGTCTTTCATTAAAAAAATTCAATACCAATAAAAATACCTCAAAAACTGAGGATTTTTCCATTTTAAAAAGACGCCCTAACTAGAACAGACCATGTTCCAATTATTTTGATTGAGATTTCGTTAATTGTTTTCGTTAAAAAAGATTTTTGAGCATAATTATCAACGTAGTGGTGATTAAAATCATTAGCCGAGTGCGAGACCAAATAAACACTTGACTTTGCCTCACCGCCGATGACTCCTTGAATTAATGACAAACTGAGGTGTTTTTTTTCCAATAAAAAAAATTTGGTCCAAAGTTACGAATATTCTTTACGGAGTCAGGTGTCCATTTTGCCCCACCCCCCCTTGAACGACGATTCATGTGGCTGTTTTAGGCCAGGCAATTTTGGCATCGATCCGCTTGAAGGCGAAGAGGCAGTGTGACATCTCCTGAGGGCACTCGTGATCCCCAAGAAGTGTCTCTGAAAGCAGCAAAAAAAAAATATGAATAAAAATTCAGTGTTTCAAAGAATTCCTCCAAAACTCCTTGAGCTCGTGTTTCTGAATGGCAATAATGCAACCGTGAAGTTGAGGAAAAAGTTCCCTGCATCTCAGTCGTAATAACTTTGAGAAATTATGAAACGGCGTTGACTGCTGGACTCAAAGGGAAAAAAACTTTTCAATACTTAAATGCTACCCAGGATTTTTAATTACGAGGGGGGGGGGCAGATTAATATTGTCTCGTAATTAAAATTTTTAATGGATTCTTTATTACCTTCTCCCTGAACTAATTTGAAGAGTCCATAATCCTGGGGATTAGTGCATCGTATTTTGTGCGCAAGAATACGGCAAATATCACGTGTATTCATATTTGGTCTTACGGGCAGTGTTCGTGTGTTTAGGGAGCCGTGCAGCTCGTCGGGTATTAGAACTCTAAGTACGGAAGAACGACAGTCGGGACTTGTGGTGAGACCCTGAAACGTGAACAAGCAGAATTAAAATTATTTTCAGTAATTTAGTTAAAACAAGTGGACAATTGCATTTTTTTATAAATGAGCGGAGTTATTGTTGATCATAAATTATTATAATTTAAATTTATAATTAAATTATTATTATATTGTTGATATTAAATCAACTTTCTAAAATTCTTATTTCACTATTCTTTCTGCTATTTTTTCATGTCATAGTACTATCATCAATTGAAATATATCGTTGAAGAATCGAATTTGGAAAAATATCAATTTTTTCGAATCTGTATGAAAAATTGAATTTTAATTGGTGTCAAAGAGCAGAGCTTATTAAAGTTTATATTTATGAAAAAAAATCATGAATCTCAGTAGATCCCTTATACGAAAACGTCAAATTCTTTGCAAAATCTATAATTATTCTCAGTGTTATCACTAAAAAATACATTTACAATGAAAACAAAAGCCTCGAAAATTTCTTAAAAGTAAAAATGCAAAAGACAGTGAAATTCCCAAAAAACTCACGTTATTCGTTGACATTGTAGCTTGACTATTCTTAAAAGTCTTCAGCACATGCACAGCACTCGATAATGTAGTGAGATAATAACCGCCTTCCCCAGTGAGAAGAGACGGATGGAGCAGACCCCACATGAATTCCGCTTCAATTTCAGCATCAACCACTTTGCCCCTCACCAATACCCAAACGAGAAGGGGCAGTAGATCATCAGCACCCAGTGTCACATGTCTATCCGAATTTGCATCTTTCACGGAATTAAATATTGCCGATATAGCTGATAATAAATTCTCCAATTTCTCCAGGGGCGAATCCGAGTACTGCAGGCGCTCTATGTATTTCAGGATTAAACTGAGGCTTGCGTCAGATGGTGGAGTTATTGTTCCCTAAAATAAGATTAAATCGATATCGATTCAACGCATTGAAACATTTCTATTCCATATTTCGTGGATTTCATGGAGAGTTTATTATTCAAAAGTTCAGATATTTTTGGAATAAAAGACAACATCAATCCATTTTTTGAATGGTTGTGTTCATTAAACATTCCAAAATAATTCCACGTGAATAATTCAATTTCAATTATTTATTTCTAAACAATCAATGTTTAAAAAATAACAATTGCGTGGAAAACGTAATTTAATAATTGAAAACCGTAACAGACATTTGGATATCCTCAATGATTTTCAACTTGAAATTTCAGGAGTAATTTTCCAACAGTCTAATACAAAAAAAAATCTCTAATGAGTCACCACAGAATTTTAATCCAAAGTAACAAACTAAAAATGAAGATACAAGCGCACAATAGCTCTGGAATATCGTCGGGAAAACTTTTTAATCATTTTAATTAAGAGGAAAAACTTGTTACTCACTCTAACGCCTAATTCCTGAATATGCTTTCCCTGGGCAAATTGTATACTTTCAACAAGTGTCTTGAGAGATCCCGTGGCGCCATAATGATCGACGAAAAGTTTATAAACATGCTCCCGCAGAGGCCTTACAACGAGTCTCATCATAACGCCCTCCAGAATGGCATCCAAATTGAGAAACTCATTAGGCTTGAGTTTGAGTCTCTCCTTCTCAACTTCCTTCTCAAATTCTCTCTCCCCGTGTTTCACGAGATAATTCTTCATCCCCGACATAAATTGACGGATATTTCTCATGACAATGTGGGGACTAGCCTCTTTGCCCTCCATCGTGCACTGAATGAAATTATCGATGTTCTGGGAAAATGTTGTTGTCTTGTCGGCAGCTAGCAAAAGTGCATAGGCTCTTATGCTTGTACCTATACCACCTGCGTCCCGATTCTTGAGTGCTTGCAGTCTTGGTGGTGCTATTGATAGAGAAAGATAAGAGGGAAAATAAAATTTTAAAATTTATCGTCTGAGAATTTTTCAGAGGAAGTCGAGAGGGGGCTGAGTGCTTTATGCCGTTGGCCTGGCTGGGGCGGAAGGGTGATGATAATCTCGTTGGGTTTAATGCGTTATGAAATCACGCAGGTGAAAATTTAAGAGAAAAAACACGCGAATTCGCTAGATAACTCTATTGGATTTCTATTGAACTTTCTATTAATTTTTCTATTCTATTGAAATGGTTAATAAAAAATATTCTGGGGGAAAGTCAATAGAATTTTCTTGCCTCAAATTTTATGTTTTTTTTTCGTTCTATTTTTATTTTATTTTCATCAAGAAAATTAAACAATTCAACGGATTTCCGAAGTTATTCTTTGTTTGAATAAAAGCTATTTAAATAAATCCATTCATTTATTCAGCTTTATTCAACCATCAACTTTACTTTGAAATAAAATTTGTAATTTATAGACTGAGAATTGTTTAAGAGGAAGTCGAGAGGTGAATATATAGGTAAATTTTTAGCAGTTATTGAAGAATGGTTTATTTGAAATTGAAAAAATTGAATAAAAATTTTTTAATAAATAAAGAAAGTGAAAAATAAAAACAAAAAAATGAATGAAGTTAATAAAAAGCTGAATAAATATTTGTTCATCAACTAAATGGGTTTATTTAAATAGCTTTTATTTAAAGTTAAACTTCATTTTCGAATGAAATTTTAAATTCACCGTCTGAGAATTTTTTAGAGAAGCTCGAGAGATGAGTAGAGTAGTGGAAGCTGAGTGCTTTATGTCACTAGGGTGGCTGGGGCGGAAGGATGACGATAATCTCATTGGGGTTAATGCTTTATGAAATAGATTGCTCCGAGTTGGATCAAGACACCTAGATAGATTGGGATATTTTTTCTGACGAAATACGTTATTTCGAGCTTTTATTGAAGAATGGCTTATCTGAAGTAAATAAACTTTTGTCTTAATCAAGTGAATGGGGCTATTTAAATATCCTTTACTCAAACTTCAACTTTATTTTCAAAAACTCCAAATAAGGAGTTTTATTTGACTTGAATGCGCCATTTAACATCTGGGGGTGGTGTGGGGTTATAAGAAGTAGAATGACTGAAATATATAAACTCCACATTTTCCTCTGACGATTAAATTCCGCATATTTTTCTACATTTTTTATTTCTCGTTTCTCCGATCTTCCAGCTGATTGTCAATTCAGCAGTGAAATCGTGAATCGCACCGAATAAGTCAACTTTTCAACAGCTCATTTATTATTCAATCGTATTACGCTCGTTTCCAAAATAAAAGGAAAAATGATATTGTTGAAATTCAGTTGTGACGGTGGGGGAAGAATCTAACTATTCTCAATGCAGTGAAAATATTTATCAAGTTTCTCGTGAATTGGTAAACTAGGACAAGTGCATTTTTTCGAAAAAAAATATTGTTTGCAAAAAATTCAATCAAAAATACGCATTTTCGAAAAAAATTACCTTATCGACTAGATCATTACACTCTTGCGTCAGTGAAGTAGTTTCATAAATAAAAAATAATAATTGCAGGAGAAAACACAATTCTAAAGATTCATATAAACGCAGGGGTTCCGTTTCCCCTTAAGAAATTGTATTGTTTTCTCAATCGGAATATTCGAAAATTCCCATTCAATTTCTTACATCTCAAGAGAACTACGCCTCTGTGAAGTTTTCTGTACAAGGCCCTCAGCCACACTCCAATTCTTTCGAACATGTTTCTTCCTCTTCCCTANAATTGTATTGTTTTCTCAATCCGAATATTCGAAAATTCCCATTCAATTTCTTACATCTCAAGAGAACTACGCCTCTGTGAAGTTTTCTGTACAAGGCCCTCAGCCACACTCCAATTCTTTCGAACATGTTTCTTCCTCTTCCCTATCCACTTGCACACTTCAAAACGGAGAAAACAACTCCCAGGGTACCGTAAACGACCAAAATAGGGACTCTTGTCATCATAAATGGCCCCGAAATGCACAAAAAGCCATTCGTTATATCCCCATGATTATGTAAAGACAATTTGAACTTGGGGTCCCCTCACAATGACACTGTTTAGACGACATTTTGCGTTGTCTGACTAGAGTCGAAGTAGCTCATACCCCAGAGTCCCGATGATTCTGAATCAATTCAGAGTGGGGATAAGCCGAGGAACGCGTGGTAATCTCGAATAAACAAATCGCCCCATTGTCTCGACTCTATCGTCTGACATATCCACGAGCACTTGTCCCGGTAATGCTGATCATTTATTAATAATAGATAAAAGCTTTCGGTACTTACAGAGCAGTGGATCCAGACGGTTTTTAAAGGTGACATTGCGATTTATTCTCTCGTGATCGCTCTCATCAGTGTCTACTGTCTCTGAGTCTGGTCGGTAATAAGTGTCTGATAATTCATTCTCGGTTTCTCGGCGTCTCTCAACGTTGTCGTAGGAGGAATTTCTGTCACTGTGAATCGACTCCATTGTGTCTGTGGACTTGAATAACTCTGGGTATCTGGAAACAGACAGAAGAGAAATTAATATTAGAAAATAATTTTTTGGGGGTTGAGTTGGATTTTTTAAAAGGAATAATGACAAATTGTGAAGTTACAATTGAGTAAGAACTGTCTGCATTGTGGTGTAACGAGACTTTAAAATTTTTGCCTGAAATTTCAACGAATTTCGACGTTGAAAATTCATAATTTTATTCAAGGATTCAGGGAAACTGGGAATTTCAGGTCAATTGGTCCATGAAAGTTGAAAGAAATCAAGGAAATTAATTATTATTATTAATTACTATTAATTATTACCTTGGCTACTTTGACAGCAAAATTTTCATTTGATTTAATAACTTCATGAGATCGCAAGGCCAAACAATAAATCTTGATAATTAATTATTATTATGAATTAATTAAGGATATCGTAGCCCCATTTGACCATTTTATTATTTAAACTTTGCCGGTATGAATTTCAATTTTGATATTGAACTGTTTGAAAACATTTCAAAAATCTGGAAAATAATTAGAAAGTTTAGTTTGGAGAGAGATTGATGAAATAATTACAAAATCGCAATTTTTGAAAATTACGAGCGTTTTCTGTAAATAATTTATAAACAATCAATGTTTCATTATAAAAATTATTTGTTCGAAATCGTAACAAATGTATTTATATTCAGGATTTACCCAGAAATCGATTTCAAACCTAAAAAATAAGGTTTCCGAAAGTTTAAACAATTCAATTGTCAATTCAATTGACAAATTTGATGAACATATTCTTGAATTTTCAATTAATTGGAAATAATAGTGTGACGATTAATAATTAAATCATAATTTTTAATAAGATTTCAACAAAATCCAGGGTAACTCAGAGTGTACCGAATAAAGTGCCTAATAAATTTCCAAGAAGCAAGTAACAAGTAGTTATAAGTCAATCTTCATCGACCACGTCAAAGGAAAATTAATCAGCCAATTACAAGGGGAAAGAGCTCCTGAACTGGGGGAAGGGGTTCTTGATGTGATTGAAGAACCTTCGAGGTAGTAACATGGCAAATTGTTCGGAAATTACAGGTATAAAATTTTAAACACAGAAGAGGAAGAGAGGATGAACCATCAATGAACTGTTGAATGTCGTTCAAGTGGTGGTACCTAACAGATCGATTACCCATATCTCGTTGAATCTTAAGTTGTGTCGATAATGAAGAGCTCTGGGACAGAATGTCAGTCTTTTATTCGCCTATATAAGAGTATTACCATTCCCTCCGATAAATTAGTGAATCATTATTCTTTCATTATTGTTAAGAATTTAAAAAATTCACATCTTTTGAATGATGATAACAGTAATGACGATAATTCCGCAGTTTTCTAGTACATTTTTTATAAATAGAAGAATTGTAGCGAAATATTCAACAATGAAGCTGTTATCACACTTGATCTTGATTATTATTCACGTCAACTAAAGAGTTTTGCAGTGTAAATAAAGAATTCATTAGTTGAAAATGAAATGATTGTGTAAACGACGAAGAGAAGGAATTTATTAACATGTAATAATCCCTTATTTTGAATGTGTCAATTATTCTTTTCACATAATTTTTAATCATCAAATTTATCAATTAAATTGGGTGAGAAAAATTTGAAGAAAATCATGAATTTTCAGCGTCATTAAAATTACATTTTGCACAGAATTATTTCTTTCAACATTTCTTCTTTATAAATAAATAATTGAAATTGTTTAAACATTCAGAAATCTAATTTTTTTATAAAAAAATTAAATCGATTTCTAATAAAATTCTGAATATGAATAAATCTGTTACGATTCCGTACAAATGATTTTTATGGTGGAAAATTGATTGTTAATAAATTATTTATATATTTTCGAAACTTAGAATTTTGAAATTATTTAATCAATCTTCCTTCATAAATAAACTATCTATTATTTTCAGATTTTCAAAATGTTTTCTAACGGTTTAATATCGAGATTGAAATGTAGACCTCCAAAATTTACAATTTATTTGTTGTTCTAATTCAAATAATAAAATCACTGTGAAATGATTTTATTATTTAAATTAGAATACAAAAAAAAAGCCAAACTACTTGTGTATCCTCAACCCATTTCCCCCTTCGCAACTGACGTATCTCCCCAGAATAATGTCCCCAAATTACCTCTGAAAAATGATACTCTGGACATTAACACTGCTGTGCCCCTTGAACCCCTCATCCCTGGGGAATTTTCTCACAGCAATATCTCCCGAAGTTTCCGACCCGCAGTCAAAATCCGTCTCATTCTCAGTCTTGCCAATACTAGACTCGTCCACCTCCTCAGTGTCATTGTCCTCCCTGCTCCTGTATTTTTTATGTACACTATTGTCATTGAATTTGTTCTCCTCGCCATTGATCTCCTTGTGCTCGTCGTCATTCGTCTCGTCGTCCTCATTCCCAATGAACTCCCAGCTGGAGTCGACAGGCCACGAGGCGTCAGTGGACATCTTGGCTCGCACCTTCGGTGGTTGGACAGGCTTAGCCCTCGTCGGGCCCTTCTTCTCCTTGGCGACGAATCTCTTCGACAGATTATCCACCGACGATGAAATGAGGGGAATTTTGTCCTCTGTCTCCTCACACTGGGACCAATCGATGGGATGCATCTGATTGCTATTTGCCGTTGGTGTTTGAAACCAACCGGGCTCGCTGTGTCGATATTTACTCGTTAAACATGAGCTCTTGTGGCGTCTCCTTGTGACAAAACCTCTTCCTCCCTGCTGAATTGCATCGGCAGGCTCTGCGTAAAAGGGACTGCTCAATTTAGACTCCGGTGTCATTGGACTGTTGCTCTCCGATTTTGTGGACATCACGGTGAGTTTTGTTTTTGAGGATGCAACGTTGCTTGGACTGTTCAAGGAATTTGCTGAGCAAACTCGGGAGAGGAGATCGGGCCGACGAGGAACGATCGAGTCGTCCGGGGATGTTGAACCTGCAATCATTAATTATTCGATTTTACTCGCGGGTTCGGCATTTTTTTTTCGATTCGAATAAAATTATTCAGTAGCGAAGAGGTACTGGTAATAATTTCGATTTTTCTGTTCGATATTGCCTGTTGGTAATTTTCATTCAATTTTATCTGATTTTACAGTGGAATTTGAAGGCAATTTCAAGAGAATTATAGAAAAAAGCCGGTTTGAATTTTTGGGTGAAGTGTTTTTTCACATTTTTGTCTAATTGTTGGATTGTTTAATGAGTTTATGCATTAATTTTTTTTCTTGACTCTGAGTTATATCTACACTCATTTTTTTGGTTAATTTGGCAAACGCTGGATTTATTTAACATGAGCGTTTTAAAATTGATAATCTCTCTTCAACATGACTATTAAAAAAATTCGTCAATCACCCGCTAACGAAAAAATTCTATTGGATTTTCTATTAGATTTTGGCCAATTCTATTAAAAAATTCCGCAGCTTCTCGCCTGTTTTTTTAGACAGAAATGTTCATTGGAAAATATTCTATAGAAAAAATTAATAGGAATTCTTAGGCTGTAATTTTTCACATTTTTCTGTTTGATTTTTCTAATGAAAAAAGGAGAAAAATGAAATTTAAAAAGTTGAATAAATTCTATTGTTTTTTTCAATAGAATAATTTCTGAAAAAATTTCCTCTTTAAATTTCATAAATCTTCCTCCAAAATTAAACTTCCTATTTTTTTCTAGATTTTTGAAATATTTTCCAACGCTTCAATTCCACTGGAGAAAAAATAGCCAAAGTACTCGGACATCCTTAACAAATGAAATTGGACACAAAATTTAATTAAGCCAATTAAATATTAATTAAATTGCGTGAGGTAAATTTGAAAAAAAATCATGAACATTCAGCGTCATTGAAATTACATTTTGCGCAGAATTATTGTTTCAAACAAAAAATAAAGTACGAATTTCTGATGTTTGAATAAAAAAATTTAATATGCGTGTCATACCCCTCGGACTCTTATTCTCCACAGTAGGTTTAAAACTGCTAAACTCGGGACTAGTAATCTCCATGTAACTGAGCTTCTCCCTGGACCTGTCAGCCCTGTCGCCCCTCAGCAGCATGAGTCGATCCCCACTCACCGAGTCCCTGAGGCCACCGTCGCAGGGGCTCAAAATCCTGGACTCGGGGCTCCAACAACTCGAGTTGTTGGACCTCTCATTGGTCCCCCATATGTCCTCATAATCCGACACCTTGTCCCCCGGCGAGCTGCGGCAATACGACTCCAGGATATCCGACTCCTGATAATGCTGTGAATTCTTCCTCGCCTCACGGTCCTTCCTCCGTCGCGACTTGCTCGTCGACGATGGCGTAGCTGGTGACATCATACTCGGGTTCCTCGACCCACACGTGACTAGTTTTGCCGACGGTGACATCACCGGTGACAATTTATGACTCTTCCCCATGTAATTTGGCTTAATGCTCTTCTCCCCGTTCTCCGTATAATCTGTCCCATTATTTTGATTCACGTTTAGTGTTATCACTGTTGTTGTCGTTACTGTAACGTTACTTTGGCACTGACTTGCACTGGGTTTTGCCCATCTCGGTGGCGGTGGTGGGGGTGTTTTTGTCGTTTGACATTGCACAACTTCCTGGTGTCCCAGAACGATTGTTTTAATGTCCAAGTCTTTAGGGGAAGTTTGATCGTTCAAATTCGCCTGAATACCCGAGTCTATTGTCGATCTTGTGTCTGTGGGAATGAGAACGTTGTTTTCCACGTTATGTACAATGGGGGAACGACGGCGAACGCTTTGCACGAGGTTTGGTGATATTAGTTTCTGGCAATTTTTGTCGGCTGAGAGGATTATGTCCAGCTGGGACTTTTTGGCCTCCAGGGGCTCGTTTAGGTGGGTCAAGTTGAGGGTGTTGGGTGGAGTCGGTCGAGGCTGGCGGGGAAGGGATGAGCCGAATGTGCCTGTTGTTCGGCGTGATGAGATGCTTGCTGAAAGTTTACAGGGGGTGAGTTACTCGGCTGGTTGAGATGAGTGCGAGGTGATTTATTGGGATGAATCGAGCGAGATGTGGTAAGTCGTAAGCAAACAGGGCGGAGAGAACGGAATAAGTACATTTCTCATTGCTGGATAAATTGTGAATCATCTGTGGGGTGACGTTTTTTGGGGGGAGGGGGAGTTTTTTTGGTGGACATTTCGAGAGCTGTGGAGATTGGGCTGGGTGAGCCGATGAAATTTCGAATTTGTGTGAAGAATTGGCCGATTTTTTTTGGGAAGAAAATTTAATTACTTTTTTCACGTGGAATTTTGGGGTTTTTAGGTTGGTTTAGAGAGAAATTGGAGGCGGATGTAAGTGAGGATATCCGAGTATCTTTTAGAGTTTAGGACGGACATTTGCAATCATCAAAATTTTCAATTTAATTGCGTGAGAAAAATTTGAGAAAATAATGAATATTTTGCATTTTGCACAGAATTAATTAATTCAAACAAATGAATGAAAGAGAAATGAATAAATAATGAATAATAATGAATTTGTTACGATTACGAACAAATGATTTTTATAATGTAAAAATTGTTGTTCATAAATTATTTATAAAAATGCTCGTAATTTTCAAAAATTGCGATTTTTAAGTTATTTTATTGATCTTCCTCCAAAAGTAAACTTTCTAATTTTTATCAAATTTTTAAAATGTTTTCTCACGGTTCAATATCAAGATTTAAATTTGAATAATAAAATTTTTGTAAAATGTACGGAAATTTGAGGTAAAATGGGGCTTAAATGACTTCCATTCTAGAAAAAATAGCCAAAGTACTCGGATATCCTTAAATCAACCTCTAAAATCACATATGAAAAATTTTAACTGAAAAATCTAGGGAATTCACTAGACAATTCTACAGGATTTCTATTGAATTGTCTATTAGTTTTGGCCGAGTCTATTGAGACGTTCAATAGAAAATATTCTGTACAAAAAGTCAAAAGAATTCGATTTTTCTATTTTGTTTTTCTTGATGAAGCGAAAAGAAAAATAGAATGAAAAAAAAATTTGAAAATTTGAACAGGAAATAGTTCAGACGATTCATCTTTTTACTGATGAGTGAAAAGTGTCTTCATGAAAAATGTTTGACGTATATAAAAAGACGAGACAGCTCAAGCTGTTGTTCCAACGTGGATTTCCACACTTTTGTTTGAAATAACGTGACTCTAGATTTTTTTTCACCAGTGACATGGCTCCAACGTTGAAATCCACGGGGAGCTGACTCTCCTCACTCTCTCCACATCATTCAGATTGGATTAAATTTAGACATTGATGGGACAGTGATGTTGCGCAATCATTGAGAAACGACGGGTATTCGATTTTTTTGATTGACATTCTTGAAAAATTCTTAAATTAAAATGTGCCTGTCATGATTTTCTTTTCTTTGTCAGTCGCTCATTAAAAAAACCGTCAATCCATCGGACATCTGTTCCTCACGCCTTTTTCACATAACAAAAACATTTTCACCGAAATAAATGAGTAGAGACTCAGCTCTAAGTTGAGTTTTCCAGCAATATCTCCGAATCTAAGAGAGATAGTCTAATTTTTGTCATAACCTTTTTTGTAGCCCTCAATTTTCCCTACAAAAAAGGTCATGACAAAAATTAGACTATCTCCCTTAGATTCGGAGATATTCATTGAAAACTAATCAACAAATCCAGTTTTTTAATTTTGATGAAGAATTATTGGCTAAACTTACTTGAGTCATGAGCAGATATTGGCACCAGATTCAGCACGATATTTTTATCATCATTGTGTCCATCATTTCCGGCATGAAAACTCGCCAGACTAGATCCATTGCTGCTTGTCGTACTGCCGGCACTCTCTGGTGATTTGGGATTTGCCATGGGATATCTCCAGAACTCCTGACCCAAAAGCGCCAGCGATGACAGCTGCTGCCTATTCTTGGCATCGCGCATCGCTCGGGGTAGGGTCAGTTGGACAGGTAACTCGTCACTGCTTGACAATACCCCCAGGAGAATTATTATTAAAGTATTTCCGAGATACCATGAAACATCTTCTTGAAATTGTGAGTGAATCACACGCATTATTGCACTATTTATGGCAATTGCTGACTGTAACGGGCAAATAGGGCTGTGAAAATAGACTCTAGGCTACCAGAAAATTTTACAATTCCAAGTGCTGCATGACAATTCCATTTGCCTTGCACTTTAGGAGACGCGAGGGAAAACAAATCGTTGAGTGCGAAATTTATCGTTTGTGAGTCAATTTCATTTGGGGATCAATTCTCCCTGAACAGACTCTTTTCATAGGGGATTAATTAATTAATTATAAAGATTCTCAAAGAACTAAAAATAATATTTTTTTAATAAAATCAAATAAAATAAAATTGAGAATTTCTCAGTCTTGAATAAACAATTCAATTGAATTAAATTGAAACATTTAATTTTATTTGAGGATTAATTTTTCCTGGAATTTTCCTGGACAGACTTTTTGAAATACGGGATAAATTAATTAATTAGTAAAAAATTAATAAACTGTAATTAAAATCAATTAATTAATTAATTAGAGCTACAAAAAAGATCCTCAAAGAATTGATAATAATGTTATTTTAATCAAATAAAGAAAATAAAATTGAGAATTGCTCAAAGTCATGAATAAACAATTGAATTAAATTGAAAAATTACACAAAAAGAAACTTTCAACTTAATCTCACGAAGATAAAGTATCCGGAATATTGTTACTCACCAGCACTGCGCATAGTGCGCTATGAGCGAAGGAATGTTATCAAATCGATTGTCACTGGTTTCAAGGCTCAATTTTCCTTTATTAGCTTGAATGAGGTAATGCTCAATGTAGGGACCCTTTCCAGAAGGCAGTCGGACGGACAGTGCCATTGTGTCACTCTGACTCGACTGTCTGACAACAAAATTCCCCTCCTCCTTTCCCTGAAGAAGGTGAAATGCTCCGGCTCTCTGAATCCCAGGGAGAAACCATATCGGATGGGACCTTATGATTCTCTCGATCAGTGTTATGTCACAGGCCACTTCACTTCCTGAGTCTGAACGTGAGGATGACTCAGCTGTTGATGTACCGTGAACTGAGGAGCCACCTTCGGACGACAGGGATTCCGAGCTCTAGAATTTTTTGAGATTAAATTTTTTTTAGTCATGATTTTATGGAGAATTAATAAAATATTGAAAACGAAAAATGAATACAAAAATAAAACGTGAAAAAGAAAATTTCATTTCATTATTTGAGTAAATAAATAAATGAATAAATGAATAAAATGAATAGTTTACGATTTTTTTTTCATTAAATAAAAATAAAAAATATAAAATAGAATGAAAAAATCAAATTGTTTTAGTTTTACAAACTGAAGAAAAAAAAATTTCAACAATTTTCACCCAATTTTTATATTCAGCAATTAAAAAAGTCAATTGAGAACCCGATGTAACTAAATACGTAATGAAGGGGACAGGAGTAGAATGCAAATCCAGCAATTGGCCGACTTTTTCTGCCGAATTCCCCAACAGGGAAAAACATGACATGACAAATTGTAATCGCAGGAGCTTCCAATTCCCGAAGGGTTTTTCCCTCAATGCAACAACAATGTCGAATTTGATTGATTGCGGTTTACCCCATTCCCTGACAATGAATGGTACCTGATTTACATGGTGCATGTGGTTCAATTGGTGCTGCATAAGGGGATTTGGTGGTGGAGTAGCAGGTGATCCATCGACCTCGTCGACAGTTCTACGTTGTTGCAAGTAAGGTTCCAAAAATACATCGTTTCTGGAAGGGTAAAGATAATATTAGGAGAGTAAACACGATTTTAACATTTTGTTTTAGTATTTTAGGAGATATCGAAATAGATCGCATGACGCGAGATTGACAAAGTCAAATTTCACGATTTTTTCCTGTTTTGAAGACATTTTTTTCGTCAAAATGAGTCTTAATTAATTCCATTTGTGTCACTGCATAATAAGGGTCAAATGTGTCATTTGACCCTCAACTAAAACCGAAAAAAAATATATACATATCTAGATTGCGCTAAGTAGTCGTCGTTCTTGCGGTTTCATTCAGCCCCGTTTTCCCCTGATCATTCATCATGATGATCCGTAAATCCCGAAACCAGAGGTAATTTACTGCCGAAATTCCCCGGTTCACCCAACATTCAAACCCTTCCGCCAAAGCCCATGGACTCCCAAGCATCCTAAACTCTCCACTATAATTAATCTTACCCCCAATTTCCCCATTCCTATTCAAAATAACTCGGGTTCCATGGAAAATTCCGGGCTTCGAGTTGAAAATTTAAGGAAAAAAATGTTGGAATCAATGCAAATGTATGCAGAGCATTCGGCGCAATTCAGAAGACTTTTTTGGATTTAATTGAGGATCTAATGGTTGTGGGGGTCAAGGGACAAATGATTTTAAGGGTCATTTGACCCTCAATTCCAGAAGTCGTTGAAACCTCACGACCATTTGAACCTCAATTAAAAAAAAAATCCTAAATTGTGAAGACTTTTTTTACTTTAGTTGAGGATCCAATGGTTCTGAGGGTCAAGGGTGAAATGATTTTAAGGGTGATTGGACCCTCATTGAGGTCCCTCAGAAGTCATTTAAACCTTATGACCATTTGACCCTCAATTAAACAAAAAAAAAAATTCCTAAATTGTGAAGACTTTTTTAAATTTTAGTTGAAGATCCAATGGTTGTGAGGGTCAAGGGTCAAATGATTTTGAGGGTCATTTGACCTTCAATTCCAGAAGTCGTTGAAACCTTACAATCATTTGACCCTCAATTAAACCCAAAAAAAATTAATAAATTGTGAAGACTTTTTCTGGTTTTAGTAGACGATTTAATGGTTGTGAGGGTTAAGGGTCAAATAATTTTAAGGGTCATTTGACCCTCAAATGAAGAAGTCATTTAAATTTTACGACCATTTGACCCTCAATTAAACAAAAAAAAAATTCCTAAATAGTGAAGACATTTTTTGGTTTTGGTTGAGGATCCAATGGTTGTGAGGGTCAAGGGTCAAATGATTTTAAGGGTCAAATGACCCTTAAAATCATTTGACCCTCAATTTCAGAAGTCGTTTAACCCTACGACCATTAAACCCAACAAAGTTTCCTAAACTATTCTAAAAATAATCGTCTTTTCTGCTGCTCCATTCGCCCCCAATCATTCATCATCCCAAAACCCAAATCCCAAAACCATAGATAATATACTGTTGAAATTCCCCGGTTACCCCGACATTTAATCCCCATCACGAAAGCCCATGCACTCCAAAGCATCCTAAACTCTCCACTAGAATTAATTTTCCCCCCAATTTCGCCATTCCCATTGAAAATAATTTGCGTTCCATTGAAAATTCCTGGCTACCTCTGCCCCTGCACTGCATCGCCCCTCGTTTTAAAAATTCAGGAAAAAAATGTTGGAATCAATGAAAATGTACACATAGCATTTGAGGCGAATGTTCGTGGGTGGCCACAAGGGGGGGGGGGGTTGGCAAGGGTGAAAACGCAGCGTTAAAGAGAGACAGCGAGTGAACAGTGTGGCTTCACCAGTCTCTGAACGGGGGTTGCCATGGCGATTGGAGGTTCTCAACACGTGCTATGATATTTTCCACCGGCTATTTGCCGGCATTACCATTTCTCCACCGCTGTACAACCATCGTAAAGCGTAACTCAACGTTATCACCAATGGCTCTAGCATTACTTTGTGCATGACAACAAATTCCCCAAGCAATTCAACCAATTTCGTATATATTTATTTTTCGTCTCCTCCGCACATTTCACTGATATGGGAGAAACGTTATGGGCGACATTGGATAGCCCTCTCTTAGCTGTTTCCCGTTACTGGAGCACGAACGTTGAGGAGTAGAGCGTAGAAATGAGAGAGAGGACGGAGAGAGGACAGCGAAATCGAAGCTCAAGAATGGATGCTTAAGTTTCACACTGGCAGTCAGAGCGAAACGAGATTGAATTACAACACAGTTGGTTGATTTTACGACATTAGCTTGTTGTGGGAAAAAAAATATATCAATTACTTGGGAATTAATTGGGGATGTGGGGATACCCCGGGGGTTTGGTGGGGGTGAAGTTGAAATGATGGGGAAATGGATTTGTTCTCAATTATTATGGGGGCATTATTCAGTTGGTAAAATTCGAAGGAAATTTTTTGGGTACAGGAGAGCATTATGGGGTGAATGAATGGAATGACAGAGGGAAATTGACGCTGAGTCAGTGGTAATCTCGAGAATCAGGGGTTGTAGGAGGAAATGACATGAGGTCTTTCTTGCAGGTGAGAAAATTCGAAGGAAAACTCGACAGGAAATGTCACTGATATTTTTCGCTGGGGCGATTACTGCTTTGAGAATTTTTGACTGAAATTTGGGAGTTTCGCGGAGTTTTTAAGGAATTTTGTTATTGATATTTTATCATTTGATGGGGAAGTGCTGGAAATCGCGAATTTCTGTTTAATTATTATCGGGAGAATTAACGGCAATTAGGAAAATTCAGGTGAATATATCATTCAATATTGAATTAGTCGAAAATTTTCGGATAATTTGGTACTAAATATTAATCTTTCGGTTGAAAATTCAAGTAATTTGGAAAATTGGCGTTTTTTGCTGCTCAAAAAAATTGAAATAAAAAATTTAAAAATGAGAAAAATATAAATAAAATTTAATTAAATCAAAAATTCAATGGAAATTTATGTTTTAATGAAATTGTTTTAATGAGATTAAAATTTTATAGAATTTTCGGTGAAATTGAAAAAATTTATTTTCTTTTTTCTCTCTGAATTGAATGTCCCTCTCCTGAAAATTATTTCTAAACTGTGGCTGAAATATTATTTTCTCTCGCAACAGCGTATTATCGAAATATTTGCAGAGTAAGGCATATCCAGTTGTGATTTTTAAACCAGAAATCATGTAAAATGAGTGCATTTATATGAAAAACTATCGGTGGCAAGAAAAATTGTTTTCAAAACTATTTTGTGGGCTAGCATTTTACTCTAGAAACCTTCATCGATATGATTGCAAAAAAAAAAAACCCCCGCAAATTCAAGGAAATTTGACAGTGAATGTTTATTTTCACTTGAAAATTCATGTAAATTGTGGAATTTTCGTCTTCCTGCGGCCGAAAAATTGGAACTTCACCTGAATTTTCTGCGATACTTAAAATTCCATTGACTTTTTCCCCTCAAATCGAATTAAAAATCATTTCCCGGAAAATTCAGCAAAATTTTTTTATCAATGTTCTCGGAAAAATTCTCTTGAAATCAATTTTGCAGCTGACAAAATTTCCCAGAAAAAATACATGTCGACATTTTTCCTCGAACCCCCATCGTTACAATTGCACAATTACGCAAACGTGCAATTCGGTTGTGAAACGGTAAAGCAGTTCAAATCGATTTCAGTTTTTTAGGAATATCTCCGAATCTAAGGGAGATAACGAAATTTCCGTAATAACCTTTTTTGCAGCCCTCAACCGGCCCCACAAAAAATGTCTCAACAAAAATATTGCTATCTCCCCTAGATTCCGAGATATCCACCAAAAACTGGCCGATACTAAAAATCCACTTAACCCGTTCCACCATTTCGCTATTGAATTCCCCTCAAACCTTTAAAAAAAAATCTTCCATGTCTCCCTCAACATCGAGACGACCCTTAATCACGCGAACGTAAAAAAATTCGCTACCGACTGCCGCGTGGCCCATCGAAACGGCCAGCACTGATCACCCCCCAACCCCTGAAAGACAATAATCTTATTTTTACCTTCTCACAGATATTTCAGCATAACGACCCCTAATCCCTCGACTTGTTGCGTTCCTATCCCCAGCAGGGCTCCTGCAGAGTGTGAGAATATCCCCACTGATATTATTTAAAAACGGTGGAAGCATGTTTAAAATCTCCGAGCGAAACCCCAAAAACCCGTCAACAAATTCACGTAATAAAAAGCCCCATAACACTTGAATAAACCACTTCCCAGCTATAAAATAGTCTCCCAACTACGGCCCCCGCATGAGCACTTGCCCGGTGTATCTGACCCTTACGTCAAACGTGTCAGACGGCAGTAAAATTAGGCACTGGGCTCCGATGGCGCTTAGACAAGAAGGCGTGGAGGGAGTTGATGACTCAACTCGGCCAATAAAAATATACTCATACAACAATTGAACTACAATTGGCCATTAAATTCCCAGCAACAAAACGTTACTTATACTTTTAATATCTTCCAGGAACACGTGTGCATCCCCAGTAAATAATGCAACAAACTGACACAGATGTTCATTCACTGGCTAGAGGAAGGAACAACCTTCTTTTCTCTCATTAACTAAGAATACTACTGTATATATCACAAGAAATTAATTACAATTGCATTTGTTTTTTAATACTTTTGGATTATTGAGCCTTCGCGAAAATTAATCACAACGATTCTGAGCTAATTTCTCTGGTGATAAGTGACGTTGACTTGGTTTATTCTCTTTTCTCATTCTCTTGATCGGTGATTTTTGCGGTGAATACCGAGCGTGGCACCGGTCGACGTCGGACTGGCTAGCGGCGGCGTCGGTCGGCGTCGCTCAACGGTGGGTGATAGAAAAAAGAACAGGGGAATGGGGTGGGAGGTGGCGGCGGCGTCGATGACGTAGGGGGCGTCGCGACGCCCTCGCACACAAGCACAGGGTTGTACTGGGATACCCAGCTATACAATATCACCCTCTACCATTATCTGTAAATTACAGCTGCAGGGGAATGCTTCTTTTAATGAAAGTGAAGTTTTCGCTTTGAG